TTTGGAAATATGGAAATGACTGTATCTTCTGATCACACTGCAAAAAAGTGACATTCTTCCTCAGTATTTTTGTCTTGTTTTCCAGTGCAAATGTCTAAAGATTCTTAATTCATGATGCATTTATTTGAGAAGCAAAATGACAAGTTTTGTGTTCTGTGAAACTGATCAAAATACAGCGAGTTTATGAATAAAAATAACAAATATCCACTAATGTACTTAGGAAATCAACTCAAATCAAAATAAGTTTTCATACCCCCAATTCAATTGATCTGAAAATGACTTCATGTGTTCAATTTGCATTTCAAGTAAATGTATCTTGATTTAAAGATGTTCAGATATTTGTATTGGAAAACAAGACAAAAATACTGAGGAAGATTTTTAGCAATGCCTATAAGACTTAATGCCATTATGAAAACACAACATCATGTTTTTTACAATCTGTTTTTGCTAAAAACTCTAAATGCTAAAAAAAAATTTAAAGTGTTTCAAAATCAAGAGAAAAATATAGTTTGCATTAAGAAAAAGGCTGTAATACAAAGACCTGATGAAGAAACATACTAGAAACCCTTTGTGTTAGTGTGAGAATGGAGGAAGCATTAGTTAAAGTGTTAAGTTACAGGAAATAAAAACATGTAATCAGTTAAAATGGTAAAAAAGTTTAGCTATCTAAATGTGCAGATGGAGGGAATGTTTGCTTGACACAGCATGAAAGCCAGGACTTCTGGGTAGGCATTATGAATTGTGTACATATATAGACAGAAGGACTAGATAACACGAAAGTCTAGTCTCACCTCCTTGACAGTGGCATCATCAAAGAAAACCCATTTGGATGATTTGGTGTGGTAGGTGAAGGCACAGTAATGTCTGCTGGAGTAACAGATCATTCCCACCAACAGCAGCTCGCTCTTCTTTGCACGCTCGTCTGTGACACGGTAAAAGAGCTGCAAAGACACAACAAAATGCAGATATTTAGACAATTATAACAAAGTCAGACAGACAGACAGACAGACAGATAGATAGATAGATAGATAGACAGACAGACAGATAGACAGATAGATAGACAGATAGATAGAATTGAAATGCACAATGAAAAAACATGATTTTTGAAAATTGTTAAAAACGGAGTTATCTGTTTTTGCAAATGAACTCTTCATATGATTTATACAGCATTTCTTAAAGGGGTCATATGATGCGATTTCATTTTTTCCTTT